GGGCTGATCTGATATGCTGGCCTGGTCTGATTTGGCGATGATAGTCTGTTCTGATGGGCTGATTTTGGTGGTCTGGTCTGATAATGGTCTGGTGTGGGTGTTGGTGCATGGTCTCATCTGTGGTCGGATCTGAGACTCCTCCGATTGTCTGGAGTTGTGGTCTGATCTGAGGCGGATTTTATGGGCTGCTCTGGTGGTCTGGTTTTATGGTCTAATCTGGTGGTCTGACTGAGGAAGATGGTCTGGTCTGACGGCTGAAAATTAGAAAGATGAGAAGCTTAGGAAATAGTAGTGAAAAGGCTCTATACGCTTCAGAGAGCTACGTAAAGAGAAACGAAGAAAAAATACGGAATACTTTATTTTTAAAATTCAGTTGCAATTGAAAACTTTGATACCCTGAAAAGGTTTGTAAAGACTCAATCAAACTAATATAGGGCTGAGCTGACGATGTTTTCGAATCTTTTTCATTTGTAGTAAGAATCGTAAATTGTAATGTCTATCACCATGGTAACAATCCAGGCTAGGCCGCAAGCAAAAATGTTTTTGGGATCACTTCCTTGGGAGCTTGGAAACTAAGCAGAGAATAGTAACCAAGCCTTCCCATTTAGTTTCCAATCCTTTCTGAGCCATTTGTATGCAATGTTCGGTCAAGTTTAGATGGCAGGCGAGGTTCTATTGCAGTAAAACTGGAAACTTTTACATGTAATACCGAAAGGTAACTCGCAGTCAGTGTTTTAATATTTGAAGTTGTAAATTTTCTCTTTTTTCTTGATAAATTTACAATGTGCATTGTCCAACCCCTTTTAAGCATGAAATAAGCTTAAAATATAATAATAAACCTCTAAGTAATTACGAAATTAGACTTTAGTTGTTTTCTCTGCTATTGTATAACCTTGATCCTGACAAACTAAGACAACTGAGCTGTTTTCAATCACCGTTGAAAAATTATCGGCATCTGCATAGATTGGAGTTCAAATTTAATTTGAGGTGATATACACGACCCCACAAGCTTTAAGAGCTTTAAAAACTATAACAACAACATTATTAACTTTATTATATTAAACAGATATAATTACATCATATCATTATTCCCCCCCCTCCCAAAAAATCTATCGTGTTTAAATAAAGATTATGTATGCATGTATGTATGTATGTATATGTTGTGGTTCAATTTCATCCTTGGTTTAAATTTTATGTCCCTTTGTTTTAAAACTCATTATCATACATTACCATACTTCAAAACAGAGAGAAATAAAATTGAAACCAAGAATAAAATTGAATCACAGCATATATAACCCTAACCCTAAGCCCTAGGAAATGCAACTACTATTTTTACTTAAGCCTAGAAATGTGCTTCTGGGACTCATCTTGTCAGTGACAGGAGTTAAAATGGCTCGCCAAACACACTTTTTGTATCTGTTACTAAGGTTAAGCTTTTTCCAGGGTTCTATGTTGAATACTCAGGGATCAGGGAGCTATGGGGCTGGGTGGATAGTAGAGCCCCCACCAACAACCTCACCAGGATTCTTTTTAATATTAAATTTACAAAAGTACTTATAATATTTGTGTTATAAAGCAAAGACAATTTATTCTGTTAAATGTACGTTTTTTGTGCAGAAAACTAACCGAATGGTTATAACAATTTGATAAAATCTCAGAACTTTCAGAAATAAATGTGTTTTTGGTGATGTGAGAATCTCAAAAATGCCAATACTTTCCAGTAGTGGCAGTGGGGGGAGAGGGGAAGAAGTTGCACCTCTAACACTAATTTAGCTTGTACTCACACAAGCTCACACCATCAATCCAAAACATGCTCCCTGGTACCTGATATGGTCTAACCTCAAAACAAATCTGACATTCAGTAATCCAACATGACATTAGTGATTTTTCACTCTTGTGGATTTTTTTCATCTATGGTTATTGTGCTTTGACTAACAGAGCTAGCTGATCTGCCAAAACAACGTGATGCAAGGTGTAGACTGGTGTAGATTTTGTGGTTTACCAAAAGCCAAGGAAAGAAGTTTTCTTTGAAAGTACATTTCTAGGTCTTCTGTGATAAATTTAAATAACTCAATAAGGTTGTAAGCTCTCATTCTTCTTAAAACTACACATTTAAAAACAAAGATCATAGACTCTGTGTAGTTGTCTGTATTATTGCCTCGTGTTCTCAGATTTCCTCTGTAAGAAAGTGCCAATTCCTTCCTTCTATCTATGGCCCTGTTTAAATATTCTTTGTATAGGGAATATTTCTGTAATACAGTGTCTGATGGAAAAAGCTGCACAATCTCTTCAAATTCTTGTCGGGTTTTAGCAAACACAAGGTCCTGCATTATGGAAATCAGGTGTTGTCTGTCATCCTTTAAAATGGAGTGCTTGGAGTCCAGTAGCCATCTCCATGTTGCTTGCAAAAAGTGAAAAATGCACAGCAGGAGTGTTGCCTGTTGCCAGTGGACTCTAAGAGCTTGTCTCTGGCCAGTGTCATCATCTGTCATGAAAATGTCAGGTCCTTTTTGTGGACCTTTGCCACCGAAAGCATGACTTGGCAGAATGAATTTCAATTTTTCCAGACAGTTTTTAAGACATGGCTGTGATTGGCTTGATGTTACCCAGACTCCAAGAGGTAATGCTCCACAAGGATGATGAGTGCACATAAAGAAATAGGGTTGTTGTATCGATCAAGGCTCCCTGATGAGTCCATAAAGGCCATCTCACCAGCTTGCCTAGTTTCATGTACACGTGACATCAAAGGGGTGCATATGGATAAGATGAGATCTTGTTTATATGGACCATTTCCGTTAACCCTTTGCAAGTAACACTTGCCTTCCTTATCTGCATTGTTCTTGTTGTAGTCATCAACAATTTCTTCCAGGCGATCAAACATTGCAGATCCATTGGATGGACACTTCTTTTCAACCAGCCATTTGTCATGTAAATTGTTAACATCTCTCAGAGAAGGGCACATTCTCCGATCAGCCAGTAGCATGAGAGTTACTGGATCCTTCATCAACAGGGTTTCATGATGATGAAATGCTTCTGAGGCACTCATACCCTCTTCAAAATATGCAAAAAATGTTTCTTTGGTTGCTGGCAAAATAGGGCAAAATGAAGTTAAATGAAAGCAATCCACACTGTGATTGTGGTTCCACCAAAGCTCTATTTCACACAGAAATGGCATACAGGTACCTTTTTTTTCTGTTAATTCTAATGGACATTTTGCTGTCACAATCTGTTTTCTTTTCCCTTACTTTTGATAGCAAGTGGAACTTGCATCCTTCCTTGTCACTGTTGTCTTTGTGTGTCCTGTGCCTCTTTTCTTTTCTTTTCAGTGCAGCCTCCTTTTCTGCCACTTGCTTTTTTGTTAATTTCTTGCGTTTGCACTGACAAATGCACCATCGTGCATAAATGACTTTTACCCCCTTTCGTTTGTAACCACCCTGTGCATTGTATTTAATATTTGAAGATGTTGTAAATTGCTGCAGCCACTGGTTGACATCTTCCTTGGTTGTGATGTCACTTACAGACAATTTCACATAGACGTTTTCTTGAGGTGCGCCTGTAAAGTTTTGTGCTGGAATTTCTCTGAATTCATGGCAGCTGTATTGATAACCGCAGTTGGAAATACTTTTTGAACAGACTGTGGAATGTGATATAATGGCTTCTACTAGAATCAGCTTGATCTGCATCTTTGGCATATGTGGGGTCATCTGTGTGGCTTGCTGTTGTATTACAGGGTGTAATATGGGAATTTGACTTAGGATCTTTTTTGGGTCGTTTTTTAGGACTTTCAAAGTCAGAATCCGTATCTGATGGGTAATGCGTCTTTTGTGCCTTTCCTTTCAGACTTGTGCAAGAGGAATTGGTGTCTATTACACTGTCTTCGGAGAGACCATAACATTCCACACAATGATGATCTGGTTCTGTGGGCATGTTGTAAAGGGAGTCACCATTGGCGATATCCAAGATCAAGGAATATCTGAATTCATTAATTTGCATCTGTAGAAAGTCTAGTGGCTGTCCCTCTGCAATATGTTGTGCCCATTTCACAACAAAGGCACCACAGTCAACTGAATTGAATTGTTGTTCAATTTCAGTAGATGGAATTACATAATACTGCCATTCTTTCCAATCAATTACTCTGCTTTGGCTGACAAACACACACTCTAAAAAATTAGTAAACCTTGTGAACGCAGTTAAGGCACCAACACCATTATACAAAGAGTCAAGGTAAACCATTCTCTTCTGTTTCATCTCAATGAAAACAAGGCAGCAGTGATCCCCATGCAGTGCAGGGCACAGGATTATATCTGATTTTGGAAGATTCTGATACAGTAAGTGGTATTTACGCTTCAAAAAGGTATTCATTGAGGAATGTGTCATGTTGTTGTAGACATCAGAGTTGACAGTAGAAACATTGTCTTTACTGGCTTGAGACTGATTTTCTATCAGCAAAAAAAAGATAGTCCATTACAAATTGGAAAGTTTTCCTTCACTGATCTTGTGTTTAGGTGGAAGGAGCTTTTCAACATCAGTTGGCTCACATGCTTTAACTCTAGGATGCCCTACAATTTCAACCCCAGCCATGGCAATCCCTTCTGCTTTTCTGATAGATGCTGTGTCCAAAGTGGAATATTTCCAGGATATACTTCCAGTAGCAGTCTTGAAAATTCCAAGTTTTCCAGCTTTTGATGTGTAGTAACCAGGGGGTATAGAAGACTTGATAGGAAACATCTTTCCTTTTTGGGTCTTAAGGGGCACTTGGGGTGGCCATTTTTTTTTAACCTTTAAATTGCTCGATATTGCAGAAACGTGTCTAACCTCTTGCACGTCTTCAACTTCATCTTTCTCATAGAAAAGGAGGTATGCTTCTTGGCTTGTGGCTTCCAGAGCTGAAGACTGGCGGATAGAGGCATCACTTGAATAATACCACTCGTCTCCTCTTTTGAAGTAACAAATGTAATGACCAGAGGAAATCTTCGTGCCTTCATGGACAATGACAGCTTTCAGTTGATATGAGACATCAGTTGCTGTGGTTCCTTTGTCTGAAGAGTTATGGTGTTCCGGAAAAAAACTTTCTCCTTGTAATCTATCGAGTTGCCAAGCTTTTTACCATCATTTTGAAATCTTACAACCTGAATGCACAATGACAGAGGGGATTGGCATGTGAGCAACCTCTTCCATGCATCAGTACTTTTTGAGCAACTGATGGGATAAAAATGGAAGAGAAATAATTCAACATTTACCCGAGGACAAACAGATTATTACCATGTAGTGTGTACCTAAGGCCAGGTTAACAGGGTAACTGTAACATTGTGGAATGCGTTAAAACCCCATTTTAAATTAATTGAATCTCTTATCATTTTAAAACATAAAATGAAAGCCTTCCTTTTAAATCAATTTTTAATGTCATAAATTTATATGTAAATAGTTTCTTAAAAGTTTATTGATAATCAATTTGTGATGCCATAAATTCTATATGCAAATAGTTGTAGGTTGAATTACTTTTGCATTTTTGAATAAATCATTTTTTTGATAAGCATAAAAATTTGCTTGTTTGTGTTTTTTTTTGCTCGTGTATGTTGGTTTGTGTTTGAGTTGAACATTTAATATTCTTCCACTTTTGTTACCTGCTACAATAATAAGATGATTCCAGTTCCACTGGGTGGGAATAATCCCTCAAGAAGCTCTGTACAATACAGCCCTTTCAAATTAATAAAGAAACAAAAAAATAATTAGGACAGGAAAAAGATGGAATAATAGCCACCGGTAATTATACATATAATTTTGGCCCATTGAATCATCTTACCTGCAAAATGTATCTCGCCAGAATTAATAATATATCCACTGGAAATACGTGTATCACAGAACCTCTTGAGGCTCACGGGGGAGGCTGATAACATTTCAGGGATGGAAGGGGGCAGAGAATTGGAATGCAGTGTGTAAATTGAATTGAAAAGCAGGTTTTTCCACCCAGCGTCTAATATTGGAAGGTGAGATGTAGTTAACATCCTTTGGATAAACCACTGCTCTGGCGTCAAAAAGGATCACATGGTATTTAAATGGGGTTCCTAAGTTACAATTTCCTGTTTTCAGGTTTGGGTCAACATTCAACATTCAATTTTTTAAATTTAAATAATTATTATATTTTGTTGAATTAGCAAAAACATGATCAATGACTTTTATTGTGGTCTGCCTGGTACTAATTTTTTTGTGTACTTAAATATTTTTTTTGGGGACTGTCTTCAGACGTGTAAAATGAAAAAAATTAATTATTCGTAATATTTACTCATACCTTTGTGATATGTAGTGGGAGAATAGTTTCCATTGTAGTGGTAGAAGTGACACTGCTACATGATGAACACATTACTTCACTCCTCAGCTCAAAGAAAAAGGATCGCAGAAAGGCAAGGTTGCAGTTGGCAGGAATTAAATTTTGGGTAATGGGTTCATGATAACCGTCACGAATATAGAGACATTAAGTGACCACTTAGCCCACTATGAGAATGTTGATGTAATTGCTGTAGTTACTGTAGTTGGTGTAGTAGCTGTAGTTGGTGTAGCAGCTGTAGTTGGTGTAGTAGCTGTAGTTGGTGTAGTAAGTGTAGTTGGTGTAGTAGCTATAGTTGGTGTAGTAGCTATAGTTGGTGTAGTAGCTGTAGTTAGTGTAGTTAGTGTAGTTGGTTTAGTAGCTATAGTTGCTGTACTTAGGGTAGTAGCTGTAGTTTTTGTAGTTGCTGTAGTTGGTGTAGTTAATGTAGTTGGTGTAGTTGCTGTAGTTGATGCAGTTGCTGTAGTTGGTGTAGTAGCTGTAGTTGGTGTAGTAGCTGTCGTTGGTGTAGTTGCTGTAGCTAATGTAGTTGGTGTATTAGCTGTAGTTGGTGTAGTAGCTGTAGTTGCTGTATAGTAGTTAATGTAGTTGGTGTAGTTGGTGTAGTAGCTGTTGTTGGTGTAGTAGCTGTAGTTGGTGTAGTAGCTGTAGTTGATGTAGTAGCTGTAGTTGGTGTAGTAGCTGTAGTTGGTGTAGTAGCTGTAGTTGGTGTAGTAGCTGTAGTTGATGTAGTAGCTGTAGTTGATGTAGTAGCTGTAGTTGATGTAGTAGCTGTTGTAGGTGTAGTTGCTGTAGTTGCTGTAGTTGGTGTAGTAGCTGTAGTTGGTGTAGTAGCTGTAGTTGGTGTAGTAGCTGTAGTTGGTGTAGTAGCTGTAGTTGGTGTAGTTGCTGTAGTTGGTGTAGTTGGTGTAGTTGGTGTAGTTGGTGTAGTTGGTGTAGTTGGTGTAGTTGGTGTAGTTGGTGTAGTTGGTGTAGTTGGTGTAGTTGGTGTAGTTGGTGTAGTTGGTGTAGTTGGTGTAGTAGCTGTAGTTAGTGTAGTAGCTGTAGTTGCTGTAGTAGGTGTAGTTGGTGTAGTAGCTGTAGTTGGTGTAGTTGCTGTAGTTAATGTAGTTGGTGTAGTAGCTGTTGTAGGTGTAGTTGCTGTAGTTGCTGTAGTTGGTGTAGTTGGTGTAGTTAATGTTATTGGTGTAGTTGATGTAGTTACTGTAGTTGCTGTAGTTGGTGTAGTTGGTGTAGTTGGTGTAGTTGCTGTAGTTGGTGTAGTAGCTGTAGTTGGTGTAGTTGCTGTAGTTGGTG